TCCTTCCTCTTTGAAAAATTTCGTCTGATAAAAGATACTAAAAATTACACAGCGGATTTCTGTGTAGAAAATTTAGACATGAAAATAAATTAAAAGCGATTATATGAACTATTAAATGAATTATTCTGTATGCCTGCTTATTTTTTTTATGGAAATACTTGGCATTTTCAGGACACAAAAAATACTTCAAAGAACTTTGAAATATTAGTACAAACACATTAATCAATTAAATTGAAATAAATAATGAGATGTAATTTAAAAGACAGAAATAATTTAATGTAAGAGATTTAGATTTAAAAATTTGCACACACAAATCAGATTTATTTATCAGATTTTGTAAGGTTTTTATTTCATAAATAACTTTGATTTTGAAATGTGGCATTTGAACCTATAAACCTGTGTGGATACTGAAAAAGTGATGAATATATAAGAATATTATCATTTTCAGTAAGTTTTCTTATTGAATAATAAATTCTGACAGTCCTATGCTATAAGAATAGGGTCTAAGTTTGCATAAAAATTCCTCTGTTAAATAAAAGAATTTAAGTAATTTCTGTAGCCTTTTTGTCAATACACTAAAGATTTTTTAACTAATTACTCGTCCTCGCTTGCAATTAGAACCATCATTAAATCCCTATTTTATCTAATCATTTCCTGAACATTATCATGTATATAGATTGACTTCGTCTTTGTAACTGATAATATTACTTGCGAATTATTCTCTTGCTGGTGAACTATCAACAACCCTTTCTATTGCTGAGTTAGCGTTAACAACCTTCGCTCTCACTACCGCCTGCCTTACGGAAATCGGCGTAAAATGCTGGTACCTGGGCTGCTTGTGCGCATGCGCGAACGTAGGTGGTGTGAATAGCTTGTTAGCTATTCGCACCGTCGGTGCGATTAGCCACTGCGCATGATTTGACCGCTTTTAGACTTGGTCGTTTTAGCATTTTTTTCATAGTTCATCAGCGATACTTTTAGAATGAAAAGAGACTAAATCTGTCCTTTCAAGAATCTGAAGTCCGCATAAGATTTACTCTGGAATGTTTCATTACCTTATTTAATCTAAATATATTAATCTAAGGTAGATTCATCTAATGAAATGTAAATTTAATATAAATACTTTTGATTCGTTAAATTTAATTAGTAATAAAAATACGTGCTAAATAATTGTTTAAAATTTTACTAAAATAATTAATACTTAAAATATTTTTTATAAATATTATAGCAAAATATTTAAAAATGAAACTAATCTATAAAGTATGTTATTAAGTTATGCATGTTATATACTTTAAAAAATCATATTTCCGAAATCAATGCAAATCACATGTTAACAATTATTTCACTACTGAAATATAACTTTATTTGTTATTTTTGAAGTAAGGAAGAATTTATTTGAATTAAGATGGTGACATTATATGAAACATTTTACCGCATACAGTGCAAAAAGTACAATTTTCGCGAAGATATGATTGTGCGTAAAGCTGTATTTACGGATAAAAATGGGGCGACTTTAAGAATACCGAGAAAACGTCCAGTGTTAAAAGACGATGCATATTTAACGGCTGTCCAATATATATGACGGAAAACTCATCGACAGTCAGGAGAAGCAGAACGGTACATTAGTTACTGGATGCTTATATAAACGAACATCTCGAGATTTGCGTGCTTTGGCTAGCTGCCAAACTCGAACAAGTAACTGCGCAATTAATTGAGATTCTAGCAGTTCTTTCACGTAATTTGGTAAAGATGTCATCTGTAAGGCGTTTGAAAAGACTGACATCATGTTTGAAATTCAATCAAGCGATGACTGATATAAATAATATTGCTTATATTAAAAGTAAATATAATGCACTGTCAATCAAAGAACGCATTTTGAATCTTCTCATTGTTCTGTATCTACTTACTTCAACTGCTTTCAGCGAGTGAAATTCCATTGTTGTGAGCTTCTGTTTGGAAGCCTCTGAATTTAGGAGAAATCATAGTGAAAATGCTGAATTTGTGCTTATTTTGTTCGTGAATATCTGCTCTACAATAAATGTTACTATTCTAATTGTGAATATAATGTTCGTGAAATAGTGTCTCTGTGGCAATTGTGTCTGTCTCCAATCTGTGTGGTTCCAGCGGTGCAATATTTGGATATCCTTATTAGCTTTGTGCTTCGGTTATAACGTCATAAGTGCTATATCGTATATCATTCATATTAATCGATTATTGTGTTCATATTGAAAGGTTGATTCCCAGAATTAATTCATATAAAACCAAAAATAGCATACAATGGTAAGGTACTTTCTTGTTTTGCTGAAAATTCAATCTATACAGAAGCAACAACAATTCAGGCTGTTATGGTATGTTCATTATTTTCAAAATACAAAGGAATTATTGGACTGGTACCAGTACTTAATATGACTGCTGAAGATGAATTGGATATATGTAATAGCAAGAAGTAATACGTTAAAATTAATAATAATGCAGATTTTATAAGTACGTTGTCTTTTGTACAGTATGCAAAAAAAGGTTATTGATTTTAAACAAACAATATATGAAATGTATGATCGAAAAAATAGTGTTGAGGAAACATTAGCATTGCTATGAAATATTGTAATCTATAATTAAGTGATATTTAATTGCGTAATATTAAAAACACTAAATATTTTTTATTGATTGCAAATTGTAGTTTTATTACTTTTCGTTTGGGATCTATTCTTCCAAACACTGTGTAATCGCGTTTTTTAAATTTTGCCGTTATGTATGTAAACATGATTATTAGATTATTAGATTATCTCAATAAATGAATGTTGGAAATTAGGTTTTGTTTTTATTAAATTTAAGTATATCTTATTTTCTTCGCTTGCTTTTTATGTGCTTGTGATAACAAAGAAATTCATAATAAATAGAAACAAAAGTTTTATCGTGTGCTATTTAACGAAGAGCTTACTTTAACGTACTTAACTTACTATCGTGTACTATATTATTTAAATTATTTCTGTACAGTAACAAAAGGAAAGTTATTGATTATAAAAAAAGCATGAAATAATCATTGTAATCTACCACTATTCTAAATTGTAGAAACTAAAAATAAGTAAACACATTAACATATGATCGAAAGAAATGGTGTTAAGAAACATTAGCATTACTAGTAAATACTGCAATCCATAATTATTGCACTTTTAATTGCTTACCATTTAAAAAACACAAATATTTTTTTATTAAATGGAAATTTTAGTTCTGTTACCTTCCTTCTGCTATTTATACTTTCAAACATTACTAATTCATGTTTTTTTCTTAAATAGTGCTGTCATGTATTCTTGTTTGTTAGGTTATTATTTCATTTTAGATATGAATGTAGGAAGTTATTAGATTTAGGTATATTTTTGTATGAAATATTTTTTATCACATTTATGAACTGCTTTATTTGCATATCTTGGAGATATAGTACTTAATGGTTATATTTTTTATTGTGAAACACGAATAAATTTACACTTGAATTCAGGTAAAATACTGATTATGTTATCTTAAGAACCGCTTCCTAATTTATCATGACAGGGGCAATTTTCAGTGTCTCTGAGATTTAAGAAAAAAAAAAAAAAATGTGATAATGCTGGTATCAGAAACGCTTTTTTTTACCCACATATATATCTTTACTTTTATTTATGTCTAATTGAGTTTTATTTACTTAAAACATACTATTAATGTTACATATTTATAATAACCACTTTCATAATTACTCTCACTTAAGGGGGGGAATGATGAAATCTTAAATAATCGTAACTTAGAATTTAAGTTATTTAAAAAATATAGTTTAAAGTACTGAAAAATATTAAAGCTATTATTAATTATGCATATTTAGTCTAAAGAAAAAAAATGTATTATCTTCTGGTTTTCAGGAAATGATAAAATATTTAAACTTTAAAAAACTACAAGGAATACAAAATTTTAAAAAAGAAGAAAAATATATTAATTATTAAGTTTATTTTTCTGCATAAATCAATATGTAACACAAGGACATAATAACGACATTTTCACAACTGTTGCAAAAAGGTGGAATTTTGAGAACATTTAGGCGTCGTTAAGACGTCGTGATACGATGCTTTCGCAACCAAAATATCACATGAGAAAGACGCAATAACGACGTCTATGCGACAAAAACCTCATCTGCAAAGAAGTAATAAAGACGTCTTTGCAACGGCTGCAAAATAGTGGATGTTCGCGGACATCTAGGCGTCTTAAAGACAACATATTGCAATGTTTTTGCAACACGACTCGCGACCAATTTTCAACGTCGTTACGAAGTTGCTGTGCTACTTGGGGTAAAACCCTCTTTCATGGTGAATATTTTTGAAATATTATGAAAAAAGTAGCAGACATTCCGTTTTATTTCTGCATGTTACGTTTAAGGATGTAAGGACTTATATTATTCTAACCAATTATTTTTAGTTTGACTTTCCCTCCTGATTTAAGTTTCTACCGGAATGTAAATTTTGTAATGACGCAAATGCAAATCTAAATGTGTTTCAGAAGCAGTACTGAAGCTGCGTTTCAAGAGTTCAGAAAGAATAGTAGTAGACTTAGTTCCGAGTTTATGCTGCGTATTTGAAATTAGCTCGCTAGTCGGTGTTAGACACCTTTCAGTTTATACTAATATTTGTAGGCTCGGCTTTTCTCTGAGCAGTCGATTTAGCGTTTAGTTCAGCCAAGGAGCCAGTCGTTAGATATCTTAATTTATTAGCGATTTGTTACATTCTTATTTTCTGTCAAATTTACGCTAGCCACAAATGGTAGTGATTTGTGAGCACCAAATGCGTGCAGCTGTTTTAATTAGTTTTAAATAAAAAGGTTGTTTTAAACTTTTCTCTGCCGTATTTATTCTCAAAAGACATTGCGAGTATTCGCTGCTTCGTCTTCTTACATAGAGTCTACAGTATATGCTACCAAAGAGAACCCAGAGACTCTATAAGGATACTTGCGAGGAAAAGTGTTTATGAAAATATATTTCTTACCTGCTCCAGTTGCGCTAGTTAATTCCACCAAGGTAGCAGTTAGAGCGTCAGCAGTCTTCTTAGCAAACTGTAGCTTTTCGGGAGATATTACTGTAAGGTCATCACACTTGTTATGGTAGCATTCTTTCATTTGGCCTCTGAATGGACCTAGATTTATTAAAATAATCGACAAATTAAATGACTGAAATTATTCTCCGAAGATGAACCCATAAATATTTTTCATAAACGACTATATCATTAACAAAGTATCAGCAGACACAAATTTCCAATTGCTTAATAATTTTATAACCTCTGATAGTTAAAAAAATGACTGTTTGGAAAGCTCTTATATGGAATTATAGACCGTACTTACTGGTGAAACATTAATATATCCATCTAAAAAATTAGGACTTGAATTTAGTTTACATTGAGGACAAAGCTCATTTCAAAAGACTATTGGCTACAGAAATTCCTCTTGACTGTACAAAATTATCAGGTTTCTCTGATAAGTGCTTTCTCATTTCACGGAAATTCGTTCTTATAAATAATACATATGTGACTAATAAATTATTTTTAGGAGAAGAGAAATTATTTTCGTATTGCATAAGTTCATAAGCACTGCCTCACAGTGTTAGAACTATTCACACGTAATTATGCATCCAAACTTTAAATTACAAGGTCAAAGGAAAACTAACTTAGTTCGTGAAATTTTTCCATATTGGGTTCGTAGTAAACATCTTTCAAAATTAATTATAAAGTAGTAATTTGAAGGTTGAGTTGTTGCTATGTTTTTTTTTTTTTTTTTTTTTTTTTTTTTTTTTTTTTTTTTTTTTACTGCAAAAGGTAGTTAGACAATGGCGTACTAATTTAAATAGGTCTAAGTCATTTCAAATACTGGTGGTTTCACTGCTCTTAAAAACTCCATTTTCTTTACCTTTACTTTAACCTTTTCTTTAATCATATTAAAAATTTTCGCATTAGCCTGGCTGTACTAGTTTCAAAATTTATTAAAAAGAGTTCGTAATTAATAGTGAGGTTGAGATAGGGACGGATTTTGCGTATTCAGAACTTATATACGAGTATATAAAGTCCAAATGCTGTGCAATTTAAGTGAAAACAAGAAACTTTTTGAAAAACCTTCGTATGTGAAGTATAATCATTACTGACCTGTATCTGTCAATAGGACAGCATTCAGAGATTCTGGAAAATGTGACGATGAATTGTGGTACCAAAACGTGGCATGATCGCTTCTCAAAAAGTTCAGATGCCGTTGTATAGTGGAAGGATCTGGTATATTGTTGCCCATATCGACGGCTAAATTAAATAACTTGTATTGGTGATCTCCCAAATCTTGCCATGCGTTCATAAGTTTTTGACTCAGATGATTATCCATTTCATTCCTAGAAATCATAGCCAGGAAATTGCCACGGTTTCCCGTATTATTGACAAAGTATTGCAGACCTGGTAAAGACTGTGGGGGGGAAAAGGATAAAGCATTGCTTGATTAAAAAATGAAAAAAAAAAACTTTTTTTGGCACATAATAAAACTATAAAGAACATATCATTCTAATATAATGATAAACTAATTACAGAGCTCCGGGTATCCCCAACCCGTTAGGCAGAAACAGGGGAGAATGTAAAGCTTTATATGTGGTTATGTATATGATGCAAAATATTATGAGCCTAAGTCATAGCAAATCGCATTTATGACGTCCATACATACCTTAAAGAAAATCGCTTAAGAAAATTGCCTATTGACAGTCGATTTTTGTGGTAACGTATAGCTTTTCATGAAAAACAGAGTATTAAAATTATTGGGAAACAGAGACTCACGTTTATTTTGTACGTGAGAAAAACCACATCCACATACTACCAAGCTTTCAGTTGCTTGATATTAACTACCAGTTTTTCACAGTTTGATATAATTATTATGAAATACCCCACATATATGTATATTGTGTATACATACCTATATACACAATATAAAGAAAAAATAAACAGATTACAAAATATCAAGAAGTTTCCCGAAGAAATTTAATAATACTTGCTTAAGTACTTAAATTAAAAATACATGAACATGAAAGTTATAAAAAAATTTATTTTATTTCTCGAACATGTTTTTCATTTGAATACCAGTCTTTCCAATGTGTAATGTAAACACGAACTCATTTCCCTTAATGGACTTCCACTGGAATGCCAGAAGTGCTAATACTATATTGTCACCTTGATATACACTCATGGACAAAAATAATTAGCGCACCAAGAAATAATTGCGGGATCGTAACGAAACTTGCCATGAATGTCGGGGAGATATGCAAATGATTAGAAATGTAGCGGATTGCGCATTACGTATAGCCGGTAGAGGGCGTTGAACGTCGTACTCTGTGGAGTATAAAACAATTAACCAAAGCTTGTTTGAGTGTGCTGAATCATTTACAAAGGAAGAGCTGAGGTAGACATGCCATTACGCCGTGTTCGAAGACAATATGATCAGTTGTCTTAGTTTGAGAGAGAGAGAGAGAATCGTCGGGATGATGGAAGCTGTTGGGTGGTCAGCTAGCTGGTCAATTAGGCCGCTCTGATTGTGTTGTGAGGAGGTGTTGGGACCAGTGGACCCGAGAGATGTCATGTACACGAAGACCAGGCTCAGGACCTCGACAGACCAGTCGTCAAGAAGACCGCCAAATCGTAAGAAATGCACGCGTACAGCCAACTGCTTCATCGGCACAGGTAGCACCTTCACTAGGGGCCCCTGTGTTTTCTCGAACCATACGAAGGCGCCTGGCTGAAGAACCTGTTGTATCGCGGCGCCCATTACGTATGCTGCCCTTGACGCCCACCCATCGACGCCTTCTGTCGAGCACGAGGAAACTGGACTGCAACGGAATGGAACCAGGTCGTCTTTAGCGACGAATCCAGATTCAATCTCGGCAGTGATGACAATCGTGTTCGTGTGTGGAGAGCCCGTGGTGAACGCCTCAATACTGCCTTCGCTGTACAGCGACACATCGCTCCCACAGCTGGTGTGTATTGTAAATAGTAAATAATAAAATAATGGTGTAGCACCATTATTGTAAATAATTACGTGACATTATCTAGCAAAATGTTTCGTGGTGAACAACAAAGTCGAATCTGAAGATACTAAACTGCCATTACGATCACATAATTCATCTACAATAATATGCAGATGAATCATTAAGTTCATAAGTTGAACGTGCATAAAATAAGCTGCTGTATTTATTAGATTGAATGCGCTTTGTTACCGGATAGACCAAAATTTAAAGAAATAAATCTGAGCGGTTTTTAACAGTGATATGACTGAAACATCTTTGTTATTTTCAGCCTAACAATAGTAAGCTTTGTTTATTTGCATGCCATTAGGAACGTCTTTTTTTTAGAAGTTTCGATTTGTTTCTTAATGCTTTTTAATATTTCTTAGTTCTTTATCTTCATGCTGCCATTCCGCTTTGGCTCAATTGAAAAGACTTGATAACTCTACATAAAAATGCATATAGGGTTATAAAGCAGGTGTTTTGAAGAACCACGCCGGCTTTGGAAATGAAGGAAACTCATATTTGAAAAAGAGCTTTTGAAATGAAGCATAGTTTTCGGTGATTACTTTCAAGAAGTAAAATAAATATACCAATAAAAGTAAACTGATTTTTCCAAGTAGAAGGTTTATTTGAAATGTTTGTTACACATAATTCGCATCGGAAGAATTCCATTGGCAAATTAAAAATTTCAAAGCAACGAATGCTTTAAGATCAACTATTCTGATTTTGTATGTTTCTTTACGTTGCGGCTATTTTTTCTTCAGTTTTGCTGCTGGAACCCCATCCACATACTGCCACAGTTATAGCGACTCAGCCGTACAAACTGAATTATGCACTTGTATTATACAAATATTTTTGCTTTTATCCTGGCATATCAAGTATGTATGCTCATGATTGTACATTTTAAAGCCTGGATATTATTGGCATTTCTACGAATACTGTCATTACGGTTACTTATATGACAAATTAAATCTATTTCGGATTCGGTATAATTCGAAAATAACCAACCATATTAAATGTTAATGGTGTTGAATCATTTTGTAAAATTAAATGTGTACACAGCATAAATATTGCACAATTTATGCACTGGAATAAGGTCTCTAAAAACTATTCTTGAAAAATTTATATTCAACGAGCAAAAGTTTTTTTTTTCTGTCAGCAATATTTCCTTGAAATGTTATTTAAATTTAAAAGTAACTTATAATTCATCCTATATATATATTAGTTGTAGCAGAGCCATAAAAAACTCAGAAATCAATGTTTACAACAGAGTGTTATAACATAGAAATTAGAAAATTAAACTCGCCATGTTGCAATAATTGTGAAGCAATATTTTTCTCTCAGCATATTAATTTTTATATTCCATATACTGCGGTACTGCGTCATAAAACATAATAACATTCATGCTCTCCCGTACTGTGTAGCGTTATTACCAGAAAAATTGTATTGCTTTTTGTCAGGACCTTATTAAAGGAATCTTTATTCTAATTGCATTTATCTTTACCTTTTCAATATACGGAGATGGTATCATGTTTTGGGAAACCCATTATTAAAAATCAGCCAAAAATCATTGGAAAAAGAAAGTATAAATGTATATAGAAGTTATTTCAATGCACCCATATTTATCTTAAGGGTACTTTTTATACCTCAGCATAATCCAAGGGAAGATCTTGAGTGTTAGGCACGTCATTATAATTCATGATTCCGTCCAGTATGAAAGCTCCCTGGAACTTAGCTCTTGCTCTCTTTAGCTCTTCTGGTATCAGATAATGATCAACGAAATAGTTGCTTCCCATAGCCCCCTAAAAATCCAAAAAATTAAAAAGAAAGAGAAAAAAGTGATTACATATTTGGTAGAATAAATGTATCACACTGAAATATAGATATAAACAAATTCTTATGAACAGTTCATATAATTTTTACTTCTAAAATTCGAATGAATAACTGTACTATTGATTCAACCCGGGTTGGCTCAAAGCATTAATATACTATATCCCTTTTTTTAACAAAATTGTATTTCTTCACGGTATTACTGAAGATAAAATTATGTTAATGTGTTCAACACATAAATCCGCATGTTAGCCTAAGAGATTGCTTTTCGAATTTAAAATGGATAATAGTTTTAGGAAACTCTTGTTATTATTTTATTCAAAGATTTTAAGACTCTTAAATTCTGCATAAGACTTAATATAATAACAGCATATTAAACTTCAGATGAGTTAATTATTTGAAATGTATTAACTTTTAAAGCTCTACAGGATTATATCCTGATATGGAATTTTACTAACAGAAAATTAATCCAAGCATTTATTCGGTTATATCAACTACAATGAGTACTTTCTATGTATGGTGGAAAGAGATTCTTTTTAGTTCAAAAGTGATAAGTGGCATTTGAGGTTGCATTTTTAAATCACTTTTTGATATTAAGGCATGAAAAAAGTATAATAATAGTTATTAATTTAGAATATTATAATATTATCAGTATTAAATATGTTGCCTCCTACGCGGCAATAAAAGTTATGTACAGCGCATTGTTTCTGCGCAATTTCAGTTAGTTAAAATCCGGACTCCTAGCTAAGCATACATGGTCAGGAATTCATCATTTTCGATTTTGATTTTTAGTTGTGATACAGTCCAACAAAATAAAATTGATTGTTGTTGTAAAGTTGTCTTTATATAGTCGCACCAGCGCACCTCAAAACAAAATACATAAATTATGCGAACACGGAAAAAAACTGTTACATTTCTCTCTCTACAGAATTCATCGTACTGGAGACAGATTTCATCACAGTCACATAATTTTATGAAGGGATATTTGTAATTATAAGGCGATATCAAGCGAAGGAACAGAGTGATTTATAAAACTGTAATTCAAAAAGTTATCTAAACAAATTACAGTACCAAATTAATTAGAAACGAATCTAAGAAAGGAGCATAACAAGAATCATTCTCCGCTGCGAATACATGCGTAACTTACGTTTTCCTCGTGGTCGAAGGCCACAAACATAAGAGTGTTGTTCAACCTGCATCGGGCATCTGTTATTGCACGTGCAACTTCCAACATCACAGCCAAGCCGCTTCCATTGTCATCCACTCCTGCAAGATATCAGGTGGAAGGTTTAATTTGCAAAGCATGGACATGCATTTTTCAGTACATCGTCTATTTTTACAGTCAGTAATGTTACCAGCCTTGTCAACTAGCATTCATATTCCAGCAGGCAATATGCACTGTCCTCCAAAAAATCAGAAACAGCATGTTTTTTGTGTCTAAGTTGAGAATGAAGCAACATAGAAATAAGAAATTTACAGGACATGTTCACTAGTACATGTCCAAGTCACTAGTACTACTCACAAACAGTAGATCACAGTTTTTGGAGGAAAAATGGGGTGGCAACATTCCAAAAATGGGTTCTAGTAAGGAATGTGTTCACCTCTTGCTACAAAACATTGGCGGAAGCGACGTTCCATGCTGTCAATAAAGTTGTCGGTCAGTGAAATGAGAAGCAATGACCAGGCACGGAGTAATCCTAGTTCAAGCTCATCTAAGTTAAGGATCAAGCTCATCTAAGGAGTTCTTGTTCATTTAAGGGGTTATTGTTCAAGATCATCTAAGCAGGATTTAAAGCAGCAACCTTCATTCCTAGGCAGTTCCAAAGATGCTCTTTCGAATTCAGATCTGGAGATTGAGTTGGCCATCCACATCCGCTTCATACCGTGACCCTCAAGATATTCTTCAGCAACCCGAGTTCGGTGCGGTCGCGAATTGTCGTCCATCAGAAGAAATCCAAGACCAATAGCAGCGGCATATGGGCGGATATATTGATCAAGGATATCGTCTCATTATGTCTCATCGGTCAATCTTCCTCCATGGAACCCATGCAGGTCACTGTGACCATCACAGAGAGAGATCCCAGCCCAAACCATTATTCCACCACCTCTGTAACTATGTCTTTCCACAATGTGGGATTGTTTGTATCTGGCGCAGTGTTCCCTCTAGATCAGATGGCGATCTGAATCACTCTCCAGTCTGGACCTGGACTCGTCTGTGAAGAGAACAGACGCCCATTGTTGAATGGTCCATGAGACGTGTTCTCTTGCCCAACATAAACGGGCACCTCTGTGTCCTCGGGTCAAGGGGGCACAAACAACTGGTCGTCTTGCATACAGACCTGTATTGTGCAGGCGTCTGCTCATTGTAGTAGATGAGATTCTTGTTCCTGTTGCCACTAAATGATGTGCCATGAGCTGCGGCACAGTAGTGTTACTCCTCTTTCGGGCCAAAAGATCTAAATAACGGTCTCCCGCAAGTATTGTAACTGTAGGCGTGCCTGGAACATTCCTTCTAGATACAGAATTCTCGGATTCAAACTGATTCCATAGTTGGTGGATCACACTACGAGGGACTTTCAGACGTCTAGCAGCATCAGCTTGTGACATCCCCATTTCCATCCATCCGATCTTCCGCCACCTCAACGAATCGGGGAAACGACTTCTCCTGGACATTGCCCACGAAACTGTAATAACAACTGATGATCAAACTCGTGAACAAAAATTACAATTTTTGCATTTTTTCTCCAACTCCTATATAAGTATTCATTTCTATAAAATAAAAGTGATAGCTAATTGTTTTGCATATATTTCCTTAAACTTCGTTACTGTCATGCATATGAAATGTGATTTTAAACGTTACTGACATTTTTGTAATGGTGATCTTTGAAAAACATGCTGTTCCTTAACTTTTGTAGGGTAGTGTATTTAAACCGCACGATTTCTTGAAAATCAAGATACTGAGCAAATGAATTGACATGATCGATTACCAGGTTCAAACAAACTGAAAACGTGGCAGGACTCCATTAGGAGAGAAATGGCTACGTCTCTTCTCTAAAATCCTTAAATGGCCTGGAACAACGGCATAAAACTTCATTTTTCCAATTATTCTTAAAGGTTATTATTTTTTTTTAACATTTAGTTTATCAGAAAACATCTCCGCTTTGATATATGTGTAAAAAATAATGCGAAGTACAATAATTTTCATTTTATTGTCTCTGTTCCATTAAAAATAACAATTCATATTCTGTTCCCTTCCTGTTTGTCTCTTTATATATATATATATATAATATATATATAATTAATATTATAATTATACTTTATATATATATATATATATAATAATTAAAATGTAAAACTGCGTTGAACTTTCTTGGAGCCACACTCCTGTAATTTACGAGCTTCACTATTCCTTCCTATTATATATATATATATATATATAATTCTGCTATTAAAAATATTATATTATTTATAAGACTTAAAAAGTTATTCTTATTACTTTAAGAGAAATAAATTTCTATCCCTGAATTTTTGTGATAAGCATTTTCAACGAGTTACTGTACTATAAAAATAATAATGTTGGCTTTCGATAAAGTTTGAAAATGATAGAATATTAAAATTCCTCCCTAAAATTTCGAATTTGCAATTTTTAACCTAAGACTTGTAAGCGCTTGAAAGTTCAAAGTTTGGGTCTCAGATTTAGTTCAGAAAGTTGAAACATTTATAGAGAAAAGTTTCCTATTGAAATAATTGTATTTTAGTTGCATTAAACTTCGAATATAATTACGGAATAAATAAATATGTAATATTAATTTAAAGCCCTTTAAAAGTTTTGAATTCTCAAGTGTGAGTAGCTCAACGAGGTTGTCTCTTGTTGTTGTAATAATTGTATAATAATTTATAGCACTCATTAAAATTATTTTTACGTGAAAATAGTAGATCTATTTTAACGTTTCCTGTATATTCTGTATAGGGTTTCGGAAACAGAAAATCGGAAAGAATCTTGAAAATAAAGATAAATATGAACAGACGGGAAAAGAGCGTCGGCAACAAACTTCGATGTGGCAAACGCCAAAAAAATTCTTTTCTTTCTTCACTGTATTTCTAATAACTATCTAACAACTAAAAAAACAAAGTAATAAGAATATATTTAATTAAAAGTTTGGAAATAAGCATTGCACATAATATATACCAAATTTTAAAAAAAAACTTTTCTTTAATCATCTTATCATACTATCAATATTAATATAAAATTAATGTAGAATACACGTATGTAAGATAAAGTACAAACTTTAATTTTTCCTAATTCCTTGATTCTCCATTTTTAATTTGGTTATTTCCTGTTTTTGTGTTAAAATAGTAAATGCTTATAATACAGCTCTACAAACTTCATCATTTTAAACAATATCGCCTTCGTATGATTCTTACATAATGCTAATGATGTAGGTACTTACATACGGCTTCAGCCAATAATGATTTCTAATATGGGAACAGAAACTAAATGATAACCAATAAAAATAAAGCCAAAGATAAACTAATTCTGACTCAAACTTTCATCTTGGATCGTCGCATTCTCTCTCTCGCTTCTTTCAACTCTCTCGGCGCCTCCTTCTCGTTTTTCAGTCGGAATTATTTAAGAAGTGGAAAAAGGACAAATGGTGGTAAAGATCAGGCTAGCAGATTACCCCCATTATGACATGTAATTCATATTAAAAATATGCTTCAAAGATTAAAGGAAATTTGAATTGGCCATTACGACTGTGATTTTTAACGCACGAAGCTCTCTCTCTCTCTCTCTCTCTATATATATATATAGAGAGAGAGAGAGAAGAGAGAGAGAAAAGGGGTTTTCGATTATCTCAAATCGAAGGCAACAAAATAATTTCGACTGATCGAAAAATATGAGTTAGTGTAACGTCTAATAAATTATGCCCAAAAGTAACCGTAGATCCTATGTAGGTATGCATCTAAATATTTTGAACCCGTCGAGTTAGAAGTGATTGGCTACATTAACAATGGTAATTATTTCAATGCATTAAAAATTGAAGTATAATTAAAATCAAATTATTAATGATTTTTATTCACATAGTCTCCTTTGAAAATTGCTGTATAAACTGATAATGGAATGAAATGATACGATTGTAATGAAATATTAAATGTCGATTTGATAGTAAGTATAAAATTGATTAAATATGCTCGTTGCATTTGATAACGTTTATTTTCCTTCCATCAGCAGAAGCAGTACTTGAAAGTATTGATGAGGATAGGGGTAACAGAAATAACATTTTAAAAACATTATCTTTTGATTTCTTAAAGCTTTAGCTTAAGAGCAGGGCCATATATACTATAATTCTATTAGTTGAGATGCCTTTTTAAGATTGGCTTATCTTAATATTTGATTAAAGAATAAAAATCTATGAAACGTAATGAATGATCCCTTTCTATGAAACGCAATTAACCAAATTATAAGCCGTTAAATATATTGCTTCCAGAGAAAAATCCCTCCTTTGACAACTCCAGAAAGCAAGTTTAAAAGATATAGTTATGGTAACTAACAGGGAAAAGGAAAAATAATTCATGAGATACTAAAATAAAAAAATCTTAAAATTTATGAAGAAAACTAGATTAGCCTATCCTTGGACACATATAAATAAAAGTCATTAAGTCAGTTACTGACCTGTCTTATTTGCTTTACTTACCGTTGGAATCTGCAACAGTATCATAATGAGCACCTACGAGAACTATTTCATCATCAAGATGGCCTCTTTGCGAGCCAGGTATTACACCCACCAGATTCACGCCTTCATTGTATTCTTCAGTGCCATTCTAGGGAAAAACAAATCAAAATATGACCCTCCCATAATAACATTGATTGCCGCTGCATTTATCAGTCTTTTTTTAATGTCAATAAAATAGACCATGTAATTAAAAAGTTGTTTTTGTAGGCTGTCTAGGTTCATTTAACTTCTATGCGCACGTGTATAATGAAAAGTTTGCCACATCTTATATACTACACAAAAATTTTAATTACTGTCGCTTTAAAAAACCATTCTTTCTCATTTGCATTCGATTTGTTGCAATAATTTAATATGCAATTTTGAATTAAAATCTACAAGGCATTCGAATAATTTTATAATATTTTGGAAACAATTAATCACAATTTTGGGATAAAATGACTAAGAAATCAGCTGAAATATGTTTCGATCTCAACGTAAGACAGGAAAAGTTGAAATTTTCTGAACTTTATAATAAGACAGTAATAAAACTCAATAAATGTATTTTAATAACTGTAAAAACAGCATCAAAATGAACAAGTAGATGCTTCGAAGATTTCATTAAATAATTTCATAGTTTATTTTCCAGCTTTTGAAATTTTAGAAGATTACATAAATAATGAAACAAGTTTTAAATACCTGGTTATCAGAAGCAGCATTTGTTAAAAGTTGGTTAATGAATTAAAAAAATTATAACATTTAAGTGCAAATTTAGGGTATGATTTAATTCGCATGCTTGACACAAATTACATTTGTACATTGTTAGGTACTCACTTCTCAGTGGATGTGGATAACGTTGTCTCGGTCTTTCTAAAGCGGAATCCAAATCTATTAAAATCTTCTACTTCATGCACTAATAAATTCATACTACATTACTTATTTTTGCTTTTATGCCCTTCCCTTTAGTCCCTTTTCTCATTGTCTTAGTTAGCTGGGTGTTAAAACACAAAAAGATGTTAGACAATGAAATTAGAATTGTTGATTGATTGTAATGATCTAAAACAAGATTGTAATGATCTTGTTTAGTTCAAAACCTATGAATAATTATTTATTCTACTTCAAATATGTCAGTTAAACTGCTATGTATATGTCATACTTTGGAAGCAAATAGACAGTTTTGTAGTATTGTATATTTTTGTGCATATGCAATTGGAATTTCATGAAAATAATAGTTACGTGAATTAGGAGAGCGGTTATATGGGGGAAAATACTTTTTATTTAAATCTTTTATTTTAACGTATCCTTTTCAGACGAATTCTCTAAGGAACGAGGGCATTGTAAAGTTTTCCTATTAGTCAAGACGGTTACTAATGGCCGAGCGCGAAATACTTGTATGGTAGTTCCCCAGGATTTGATTTCTGGCTACTGAAAAGATTATCTGCATGGAAGATTAATAATTTCTTTTGTGTAACTTGAATACGATCCAGTTTCCACGGCGGAAGTCCTCAGTGAAGGCATTCCTTACCTTTAGCGAGCAGTTGTAGCTAGTTGTAATTAACTAATCCATTCTTATTAGTAAAGAACTTTCAAATCCTTTAGCAGTACTGTATACATTCTTCATCATCTGAACAGGTATAAGTAAAATAATAAGTTTGATGTGGATACCACATAACTTCCTTGTATAGTTTATTACAGTACACACACTTTTTATTGCATTTCATTAAAACTTATTTCCTCGAATTATTCTAACTTAGTTAACCGATCCCTCAAGGCAAGTTGAAAATGACATAAAAAACTGCAAATTAAAAAAATAAATATCCCTGTCAGTTTCTGTCGTACGACAGTAAAACTTCTTACATTTTTATTTTTTCATAACCAACATAAAACTTTCCCAAATATAAGTACAGGAACCGGGAGACCGCATTAAAGGTTAGATTTCGCTATTTGGCGAAAATTAATTTTACTTCTTAATTTTGACATTGCCAAGACATGAAAATTTTCATCATTTAAAACGCTTCTGTAGTTGGCAGCATATGACTACGACCAATGACTGTGAAAATAAAGGCCAGATGCGGACTTTTAAGCCGAGTAAGAGGGTAAGTGTATATATGCTGCCGATTGCAATGAAAAATAGAGGTGCATAACTAGATGTTATGGAAATTCCCTATACAAAATTTAAATGTTCTGCGGCTTATCGTTTCAGAGTTATGCGAGGTACATACATATGTATGTATATCACGAAAAATTCCCTTTTGAATCTATTTTACTAACAGGTTTTAAAAAAATCCTTTATTCTGTTTGTTAGAACAGACGTCACGAAAAAAAATCCTGCAAATGGATTCGGGAACGGACAAAATGGATATTTTCATTTAAATTGTAAGATCTGTTTCTTCTATTCCCCATAAGCTAAACAAGATCTTACGATGAACCTGCCGAATTTTCGCAAGGGCATGAATGAAATACCAACACAGAAGAATGGTGAAAATAATCTTTTATCAAGTCCAACTAATAACAGAAAGGCACGATCTTCGTGCTTTACAATAACACCGTCAACTTGCGGTGAAACTTAAATGCAGAATATAAATCAATTCAAAGTCTAATTAGAATAATGCTGGATTAGCACGCTAAAGTATGGCTAACTTAGGTTGACACAACAAAACCTAACGGGCGTGAAAATTATCCGAAATGGCCAAGGGTCGTACTAGCGTAATAGAGAGATAGCAACGAAACGTGCGCTGGCTAGCGAAAACATGCTCTGATTAAACTCAGAGATTCACCCATTTAATACTCACTTAACTTTAAATTTACATCCTGGCGAGGAAATGCGAGGGAAAGTTGAGGCGCTCAGGAAAGGTATCAAACTTAAAATGATTTGTTATGCAAAATAAGGGAAACTCTACAAAATATGATACCCGAAATTTTTCGCCATTGAAATACTTCCTTTGAAAATACATACCAATCATTATTATAAACTGTATAAACGAAAATATTTCTATTGCAACAGAAAAAAATACTGTAAAATACCACAAACTATAAATATTGACACCGAATAGAAAATCATTTGAATTAAAAAAAAAAAAAAATAAGCCACAATGGTATCCTGGGCATTTCACTGTTTGGACTCGAATAAATATAATTTCAGCTTTTGTAAAATGGGGTCACTTTTTTTTTTTTTGGTATATTTGGGTGCTAATAAATGGGCGGAATACTTAAGAAGAAAATAAAAATCGTCTTTATAGTTAAAGTGGTTTTGAATAATAGTCCAGTTGAATGTTTTACTATGGTACTAAAAAAATATCGGGTGGCCCAAGATAAACCGAGCTGGACATGGGAGACTTCACACATAGAAGACTTGCCTGGTATCGGTTTAGCATGGGTCAGCCGATATAATCCTCTATATAATATACTATGTGATAGGCTATGTGATTAATAATCACAAAATATGCTTTCTAACTGATGATGTGGATGGACGCTTCAAATTAAAAAGATGGAATTCGATCTTTCATGAATATTTGGATAAAAGCAAAAGTTTACATTCAACAGATATTATATGTCAAACTCTGCGATATTCAGCTATAATAGTAATCCATTTTCCACCTAGGTTGAAAACAGTGACTTTTCATCGAGAAGGAAATTCCTTGGTCCATATTCATTAGGTACGTTAATTACATTGCGTAGTCAAAACTATTTCTTTGTAATCTTCAACGAAACTATTTCTAACTTAAATTAACTTCTTAAAAGCGTTGAATAATAATTTAAGCTGTATCATCATTGTTTTCGAAATTAAATTCACAAAATTACCTTGCTTCCGACAAAGAAAAGTGCGCGTCTATGAAAAAAACGTGCTTTTCTGTCTCTGTGGCCTATTTATTCGAATTTCAAGCGTAATTGGAGCAGTTTATTCGCATTAGAGCTTTTAAAGTACGGCCATTTAGTAACTTCGAAACTTCTTTTTATTAAAGTACACTAAATAAGAATATTTCAATTTTGCCTCACAAAAGAGCGGTATGAAGCTGAGCTTAGGAGTAATTACTCGGAAAAATGAGTTCCAGCAATTGCGTGATGACCTGCAGCGTGTCTTTATTGGTTTGCTAACCTGCTAAGTCATTTCTTAGTTTTTTTTAAAAGTAAATGTTGCACTTCCGATTAACGAAAGCTGTTTTATTATTTCTTTTATGCATATTACTGGATAAAACTGTTTATAAAAACAAATTGCGAATTACTATAAAAATAATAAACATTTACTCTTGTTATCTTTATTATCGAAAATAATAGAAGTAAAATTTTCATATACTACAAATCAGTCTTAATCAATTTAGAGATATAATTGCGATGCTAGATATTTGTTTGAGATCGATAAACATGAGCAGTTATAAATTCATCTTTTAAAATATGATTTTATTTATGTAATAAAATTAGGGCAGCATTTATTCGCTTTTTCTGATTCTAGTAATCAATATTATATTTAAAATTTATACTAATAAGAGCTATAATTTATAAAAACTATAAGAAACTATCATACTCCCCAGTGTATACTTACGTAACATAAATAGTATCCAGCTATTACTGACAGATCCATGGTTGCAGTGGCATAGCTAATTTTCCATACTTTCACATTTCCTTGGGAGAAAGGTGGGCGGACTAAAATTTTTATATTGGTACCCAAACTAAAATAGGGTGGATGATAATTCATCACCACTTGTATTTGTTCGACTGGTTCTCATTCCTCTCCCTACTTACCCTTCAAGTCAGGAAGAATACAAGGAATGTTCGCACAGTCCCGCGCGTGCTTTCGTGGTGTAAATCATAGTATATCTAGTTAGTAACCTGAAGATCCGCGGTTCGAACACCAATGAGGGCGCAATTTATTTCTTACGTTTCCCGGCTCCGAAAAATATCCTCTTGTCTTTACAATATTTCTTCTTTTCCCTCATTTTTTATTATGCTTGAATTATTCTTTCAGACTTTAGGAATCTAGAATTTCAGGCAAAACCATATTTAACACTTCTGATTGATTTTTAATGTTTAATATTTTCATATTGCATATATAATAGATAATACTGTTTCCTTGCAAAGATAAATCATAGAAAAATTATATAATGCTTATATAAT